GGGCAACGGTAATCTTGACGAGCTGTCATGTCCTGTATCTAGAAACAGAATCGATAAAGAATCCCACGTGATCTTTCTAAACTCGTCCACGGGTCATCACGCTGCAGCATGCCACAGTCCGAGCTGACGCTCTGTCCCCGAACACGACATGTGCGTGGCGTCGAATCACAATTTTATGATGACCTCCAAGTCAAGTTTAGCAGGCAAAAGTCCTGTTCCAAGGCTAATTCTACAGCATACGCGTTCCTGCAGCGTACCTGGCAGAAGTCTCCGACCGGTAGACGGGCGGCCGCCATTCAACAAGTTCATAGTAGCCGGAGTGTAGCTGCACTGCTTAGTTTGGTACCTGACGTCTCAACGACAGCTCGTGGCACAGCGGCTCGTATCGATAAAGAAATTACCATCCCCACAATTCATGAGACGCACAGGACTCGTGCGAGGGGACGTGTGGTCTAGACCACACTTGAATGGCATACTGCAGGTTACTGCTCAGTTGTGGAGTTGAGAAACACAACCGTCGTCACGATTTACATAAGTGGAGATATCGTAGCGTCTGCATCTACTCCGAGTAGAAGGAGTGGCTGTAGGAGCGCGACTACTCCCTGTACAACTTCATGGATGAAGCCTGAACACAGAGGGCGCGTAACGAAGGCCTGTGGATTACGTAGACTTCAACACACTCTAGAGCCTCCTTCTAGGCGCTGCGTACGTCGCGCGCTTGTGTTAGTATACAGGCGTGTAGGCGTACTACGGTTGTTGAGCCTCCACGGGACGTAGCGACCGGTACACCAGAGCGGCAGCGTGCCGCGGACAAACGAAACAAGGTTCTAGCGGAACAGCGGGGCGTTTGATCCTCCAGGGAGACGTTTTTGTTCGTTGGTTCTGACAGGTTACGCAATCTTGGGCGTTGAGTTAGGTGAGAACTGACGAGTCGTATCTAGAAATGTCGTGCGGTTGAGAAACTAGTCATGCAAGAAGAAGAGTTTAGAGGGATACATAGCATGCAGACAGCAAGTTTTGGGAATGGCGATTGAGGCTTTGCGTGACGTACGCGCCTTGTAACTACCCGAGCAGGCTCGCATACCCGTACGAACAGCGTGCTAGTTCGATCGGGTCTGCGTATGCTTTTTGCTCTACATTGGCGAAGTGGCCAATTCTCAAACTTATGAATGAAAGTCCTTCTTCCGCTTTAATGATGGCTTCCGCCTCAGATAAGCAGGTTGAAGATGTGGCTGACCCGTGACAAAGTCTCTAGCACATGCCGATGTTCACTGAGGTATCTTCTTTCAGTCGAGTTACCCAGGTGGGCTCTGTCTGTGCCGGCTCAATACCGCATCGGATGGCAGATGAAGACTGCTGAGTTCGCCGCGGCGGCTAGTGGGTAAAGCATGCATACCAGCTCACTCAGGCCTTCCCACTCAAGACACCCTCCACAGCGCCCCAACGATCAATACTCCTCTTGATCAGACCTGCCATCAGCTCCTTACCGACAACACCCCCGCCGCTCTTCTCTACCCTTCTGATGACCAAGTCCTTCGTGCCCTTCTTTCCGCCTGCACAATCCACCATCACACTAACGGTCTCTCTACACACACCCTCCTCAAACGCATCAGGATCGCTGAGCACAAAGTCTACTTCTTCGTCCTCGTCCTCTCTCTTGCCCTCGAACACTGCAAATGTGCTAGGTATCGGTAGACCGCGTAATTGAAGGCGATGCGCCTCCTTGGGTTCGTCTGAGCAAAGAATGCCCTCGTACTCCTCGTCGTAGTACGCGTGTGGTAGGAGTGTGTCGCGAAGCGCAGCGAGTATGGATATCCACGCCGCGTCGAATGCGTTGCCATCGATGCTGATGAAGAACACGTCGAGGTAGAGAACCCAGTACCCTTTCAGTTGTGTCTCCGCTTCTGTGTCTGGGTCTTCGGGGTTCGTGGATGGCTTGTATAGTATGCGGAGATCTGAAGCGCGGAGAAGTCGTGTCGAGTTGAGGAGAGAGCGTATGCGGGTTATGAGCGTTTGCGCATATGTGGAAGGCGCGTTGCCGGGGATGTGTGAGGGTGTGCTGCCTGTAGATAGTTCCACGTTCGGGACCAGTAACCTCAGTTCTTCCACTTCTTCGCCGTTGTCTTCCTCGTCTTCCGAATCCTGCCCGGCAGTTTGTCCGGGATACTCGAAGGTACCCGGGATGTCTTCTTCTTTTAAGATCTCTGCGCGCACGCCGCAGACGACGCTTGTGTTGCCCAGTCGCACGACTGCACTGCCATTGCAGTGGGTGAGACTTCCAGTGTTGATACCTGGCGTGCGGAACTCGTTTGCAGCACGGCCATTTGCGCGTATGGGCTTCTTCTTCTCTGCGGACAGATGCGCCTGCAGGAACGGGTGTGGGGAGACGGCGGCGAAGATGGGGCGAGGGAACGTGAGCGCTGGCGAGGGCTGGGTTGCGGCTGCCATTGCGAATGTACTGGAAATTGATACTCGCTTGGATCGGGTGCGATGTTCGAGGCGCGAATTGTTAGCATCTATGTTGCCGCTGGGAAATTTTGGAGCTCAGAGCTATGACGCGCTAAGGTTATGCTTAAATGGGTGGGGCATGGAGATCACAACCCCATTGTCACGTAGCAAGTCAGATATGTTAGCTGTAAGAAGGGCAAGCAGGCCGACTCCACATATTATTAAGACTATATAACCTACGCGCTATGCCTCAAGGGTATTCCGATCCGCTACGAACGCAACGCGACAAACAAACCGATACAGGTATATCCCACCTGCATGCTCTCATTCAACTTCTAAAGTCTGCTCGTCGTCTAGCCTGAGCTGAGTCCAGCCTTACCAGCCTGCTGAACAGGCGTCCACTTGCCCTCCTTCTTGAACTGATCGCCCCTCAATGTGCCCTCAGCAAGCTGGCTGATCATGTAGTCCCTTCCCTTGATCATCCATACCATCTGACTAGGCACCCTGAAGCCATTGAACGCACCAACACCCTTCTGGGTGCCGATTGGGCAGATCTGCTGCTCCTTCAGATTCGCCGTGTAGTGGCGATCGCCCTTGTGTGGCTCCCCAGTCAGGTGGGCAAGCAAGTCGTTCTTGAGGTTTGTCATGGCCGCAGGTACAGCGTCGTACATGTCCATGACGCCTCCACGAGTATAAGAGCCTGCATCGCCGACGACGTAGACGCGGGGACCGGCGGATTCGTGTTCGACGCGGAGGGTCTTGTCGTTGCATGCGACGCGGTTGCGGGTATCGAGCCACTCCTTCGGAAGAAAGCCAGTGTTCGGCCGAGAGCCGGTCGCATCGATGTAGATATCCGCTTCGACTGTTTCGCCATTGCTGAGTTCCACCCTCGTCTTTGCGCCTTCTTCTTCGCCCGCTTTGGTGGATCCAACAACCCTCGTGTTGTAGGTAACATCGCATCCGAGACGCTTTAGAAACTGCTCAGCGGTTTGACCAATGGCTGGACGCAGAAGAGGCAAGAGTTTCTTGTCTCCGCAGATGAGCGTGACTTTTGCCTTTGGGTTCTTGGGCGCGGATGCCATGAAACCCGGTCTGCCGTTCAGAATCTCTGCAACCTCTCCAGCGGTCTCGACACCTACTGGGCCGCCTCCACCGATGACTACTGTCTTTGCGCTCTTCAGACCCTCCTGGAAGGCGGTATGAACCTTCTCTAAGGCTTCGCGGTCGGTTGCCTGTGTGAAGAGCGGGCTTGGTGTGGTGAAACCAGTCGCGATTACAAGCGCAGCGTATTCGACGTTTTGCTGCTCGCCAGATGCTGTTTCAACGCAGACTGTTTGGCCGGTGGGGTCAACATTTGTCGCAGTTCCTTGGATGAACTTGAACTTGGGGAACGCATAAGTGAACGCAGGCTCGATGGGGTAGAAGGTCTTCTCCGAAGGCATCATCTGTTTGGAGACACTTTCCCGAGGTGCTGCGATGCGCCACCAGAGGTCTTTGGAGGGGTTGACGAGCGTCACATTGTATGTAACTCCATCCTTCTTGGGTAACTGTGGGATAACATGCTTGAGGGCGTAGTGGGCAGCGCTGATGCCTGCAAAGGATCCTCCGAGGATCAGGATAGTTTCGGTACTCATGGTGAACGATAATTAGAAGATGCGCTTGGATTGGGTATCGTAATGAAAAGAAGACGAAGAGATAGATACAAACACGTCGCAAAAGAAAAAGTTCAGGAGACGCGTCGCTATTAAACTTTAGGCGCGCTTCAAGCCTCAGGGACACCGCAGGTGGGGAGCCGCCGAATCGTTAAGTCGATGCTGAATCGAGGGTGCGACGTTTCAATGGGCTAAGCGCGTCGTTAGCTTGATATATGGTTTTCACGATTCCGTTATCAGGATTTTAGCCGGCTTCAGGCGTTGCTTATGCTCACGCTTATGAATCGCGTTCGTCAGCAGGCTGTCGACACGCATTGTTAGATATTGGAGGCTTGGGAAAAGGAAGCTAAGGAGCGGGTGCTAGTCACTTCACGCTTAATCCCGGAATCCCTTGCTGCCGATCCGTCGCTGACAATACATAGCTGTGCAGAGGGGTGCTTACATGCTTGGAAACCACGAACAACGCGGAGAAGTTCCGTCCTCCTGACAAGAGCATCGCGAAGTGCGAGTCCTGCAGCTGGGTCATCTGGTATGACGTACTCCTGAGATCTTTGGTATTCCGGGTTCTCCGCAGCGTCTTTGGAAACTTCATCCGCAGCGTCTCACCAACAGACGCGAACGCGGGCTTCAAGGCTTCGCAACGTGAAATACAAGTATGCTCTGGTCTGTCATCTGTGCGCAGTGATCGTGGAGAGCGTGCTAGAAGATTTCATTCATATCTTTCCTGAGACATAACGCCAGTCCGGTATTTTGCCTGCAAGACCCACCGCGATTGCTGACCGTCACGGTCATTGCATCCATGAAGTCCTCCATATCAATATACATGCGGTAGGTCGTCATTGCACATAATCTCCTCTCTGGCTCTTGCGACCCTTTCTTAAGCTACTTTTGCGTAACTTCTTACTCGACCTCAGTCTTGGACTCGAAGTTGTCGCCAGCGACGAGGTCGGGGATGTCATCATCGTCCTCATCGTCGTCGTCCTCCTTCTTGTCACCATCCTCGCCCTTCTCCTTCTGCATGCTCTGGTAGGATTCGGCGAGTTTGCGTAGCGATGCGAGCGAGTCGGGGCCGAGCTGGTTGAGGATGCCGGGGACGAGCTCTGTCAGCTCCTTGTCCTCACCGTGTCCGTAGATGGCGAAGGTGTTGGCAGGTACTGATGCGTGGACTATACGATGCGTGAGTTAGTATGTACTCCGACAAAAAGTTAGGGTGGCATGATTGTGGATCATGTAGTGCCATGTCTGATGTACCAAGGCACTTCCCTATCCACATGTCACAACGCTTGGGATGACGTACCCTTTGGTGCTGAGAAGTGGATGACGTTTCCGTCGCTCTTGAACATGTTGACCTCCTCAATGGCCTGGATGGGCTGGACGTTGAGCTTCTTCAGCGCGGTCTGGAGCTTCTTGTCGTCGGTGCCAGCGGCCCTGTGGACCTTCTTGACCTTCCTGCGGGGAGTACCCTTGCCGCTATACATCGAGTTAGCCTCGAATCCCTCATAGCCATATCATTCCTGAGTGTCGTTCGCTACCAATGGGCGGTCGTGGTGGGATTTCGCGGGTTCGTGATATTTTGTGGTGCGGGGCTGTCAAAATGGAGCAGGAGAGGATTGCTTACCCTGTACACACACAAGTTAGCAACTACTCCCTCGAATGACATGGCTGACTGCTCTATAAAGCAATTGCAGCTCAGAATTGGAGTACGTACCAATGCGCACCGACGCTTGCATGCGCGCCAACTTTGCTTGATCCATATTTGCTGTGTTGAGGAAGGATGACTAGGTGGGGAGAGCTGTGGGCGTGGAGTGTCAGCGGTCGGGTCCGGATTCTGCGCAGCTTGGGGTGAGGGCTTGGGCTCAGAGCGAGCGCGGGGCCGGTACGCACCTAAATTCGGGATCGTGGCCGAGACTTGGAGTGTGGTGTTGCTGGTGAAGTTGTTGCGGCCATCGGCGAAACTCGACGGAAGCGCCGATTGTGTGCATGTCCTCGCTTGTGGAAGCTTCAGATCCCCGCAACGTCAGAGGGGTCATACGCGCCAACACTTGCACCCAGCCTACCTATTGCACAACCATTTCATCCACGTCGAGACGCTCAACATGACGCGTTGGTCATTGTTTCAATTGGGTTCACATGCAGATGCAGATGCACAGACAGAGCCGCGGTGCACACCCAAGGCCAAAATGCGGAATGTCGGTCTATCAACTTTACACCAAAGGAAAAATGCTTCACATCCCAACAGACTGAACACTCGCACTGAGCTTGATCGCGAATAGTGGTATTAATGCTCTACTTCAAAATGCCCACCACTACCTAGAGTAGTGCAATTCCAGCCACACCAACAGCGCCCAATGCCCATGAGAAAGCTTTCGCTTGCACTGCTGCACCTGTCGGCGTAGACGATGCAACACTTCCGCTGGCGGCCGAGCTTGGGCTTGTCTCCGTCTCCGTTCCATTGGGGTTTCCTGGAATGTCTTCCTGAGTAACCTTCATGCCTGTCTGGTTCTTGCAGTTGTCGGCGAAGTTGATCTGGGCGTTGTTGACCAGGGTCACGTCCGCACACTATGTGGCCGTTAGCGACTTTCTTGCGATGATGGACCATTCCATGTCAATGGCTTACCTGGTATAATCCACCCGCCTCGTGGTTGTTGGTAACAACTTGTATCGAAGCCTTGGTACCATCCGTCACATTCAATCCTTCCGGTAGGGAGACGTGACCGAAGCAGAAGTCTCCTAGACCTGATACTTGGGTCTGTTGTTGTGCGACGATGCTGAATCCGTCTCCCGGGTTATCTCCAATGGCCATGTATACAGCAACGTTGGTCTGCGGGTGCTCCATGTGCAGTTGTATCGGCCCTCCGCTGATTGGGAAATCGGTGCGCTCTTGCTGGACATCGTTGTAGCCTCCACAAGGGAAGTTGCCCTCAGTGTCATCGGTGAATCCACGCGCTTCAGGGAAGTTGAGCTGGAAATGGGCGAGCGTAAGAGGAAGGAAGGCGAGCGCAAGAGCACCGTTGGTAAGCATATTGGCGATTGAGAGGCAAACGTAGGTCTTGATGCCGTGTGGGAAAGAGAAGGAACAGCGCTTTCAACTTGATGCAGAGGAATGCGAGAAGGTTAAGAGGATAACAACAAACAATAAAGAAACGCCGGGATCGCCTGCCGTATTTATTGCAGCTTACTCTGGGACGCACTCCATCCCATGCCGTGCATTCCGTTCCAGTAAATCGCGTGGCTCGCCCGTGAGCACTGGAAGCGACCTGCATTGATCCCGCGTTTCGAATAGGTCGACGATCTAAGCAGATAGCAGTAAGTGAGCAGTATCCTGCATCAGCGGCGACTGTCGCTAATGTGCAAGCCGTTAGGGTGTGGCATCGTGTGGCGTGCAGGATGCCGACAATTGAGCAAGTTTATTACCAAAGCGGTGGTTCCTCACCGCGGAAGCGACTAGCGTCCAACAAGGTTACATTTCACCGATGGCATTTCCGGTGACGCGCCGAGGCCTAGAATATGGTTCTACTGTATAGCCGGGAATGGAGATCAAAATTATGGGAATACCACGTCCATGAATCGCATTTGTGTTGTTGGAAATAAGCTTTGTGCACTCCACAGGATTCTGCGGGGAGGCTCCTAGCGACTGAATGAACACGAAGTGTTGAAGAATCTTTTTTAAAATATGTGTCTGGGGTATCACGATGAATAATACGTTCTAGAAAGCTTTGTTTGGATATGAATAACAGAATGCAAGTCGAAGACTCAGTGCGCCGCAACCTGATTGAACCTGCCAAACGCCAGCTCACCGACGAATGCACCTGCTAGCACAGACAAAAAGTACCCAACATTGTAAGTCATGACTGCCAACATGCTGCCCAAAAGTTAGCTTTGACGCAATGACTGGAATGTGTAGTGCTTACAGGAGATATCCGACGCCGGCCACAACTGTCATCAACAGTGCCCGGGGCAGGTCGATGCTGAATCTCCATGGCTGAATGTGAGAGACCGGCGCCGAAATGATGCGCACATCCTCCTGGACACCGTTTGTTGTGAGGACACCGGTCATCGAGTTGGCGTCGTCTGCAGCGCTATCGACAACCGCTTTCTCGCCCGCAACGACGATATAACGTCGCTTCAGCGCGCTCTTGACGGCCTTGATCTCGAGGTATGTCTTCGCGGTGAAGAGGGCGCGAAGGATTATGGACAGGAGAATAAGGAAGATGCATGTCCCTGCGTATTGACCAGCGGTCGTCGGGGTCCAAGCCTCGGAGAACAAAGGGGTGGTCGTTGACGTGACGAACGCCATTGCCATACCGCCATGTGAGGAAGTACCCATGGACATGCCGCCCATATCCATCGAATCCATATCCATATCGTGACCCTCGTGAGCAACCATGGTGATGGGTTCGACGTGCGTGTAGCGATAAGAAGGTTCCGTTGATGAGGCTCAGGATGGGTTCCGTTTAGGTCGCGCGGGGTGATAAGGGATCGAAGAATAGGTACCGAGTTCCAGACTGCTATCTTAGTCCTGGGGCAGGCGATCGCTTAAGACTTCTCGGTACGCTGTGGGCTTGCGCGTTCGCTGGTTCCAGTTCCGTAAAGATGAAGGCGCCTCAGCATGAACGCACGACCTGGAGGCGCTGGTTTCGTGTTGCAGTGTATACAATTGTGGTGAATGCGTAAGATTCTGCGACACTCAAGAATGGTCAAGTCTGGGCTGAGGCGTGGAGCGTCGGGGCATGTGAGCACATTTCTCGGCAACGCCTTCCCGCCTACATGTATGACAGGCAAATCTCGCAGCTACGGAAAGATCCCTTCCATGCGCGTTGTATGGGTCATGGCACGCTGTCGGTGGCTCGGGCGTGTGAGCGACGTTCAAGCAGCCGGACTCCCAAGGAGCGACTTTGAGCATAATTAGCCGGTTATGGTTAGCGCATGAAGCTTATTTCAAGCCACGGCCAACAGAGTGCCCGCTGGGCCTCGATGCACCCCCGCAGTGCGTCGACCCTGCCGCCCTGCATCTGAGAGGCAATTGATTACAGTCGGCACTACGGCCACATGGACTATTACCGGCACCATGGCTGAAGACGCTGCATGTGTGCGTCTTTCGCTGGACGACTATCACATCTTATCAACCTCCTATGACACTGTCACACGCTGTCTATCTCCCAACGTCCTAGAGTGCGTCTCCATACCGATCCTTCGACGTACCCGCGAAACAACTACCCTGGTTACATCTCAGACTGCTCGCGACGAAGTCAGCATGCGATAAACATCGGTACAGGCACACGCCATCCATCACTGGCAACCGCCCAACCTTGCATTCAGTGCAAGCCTGGAAACAAAAACCAAACAGAGTCGGCAATACTGCAGCAGCGCGTAGCATCATGAGCCACAATCACATGTTGATGGGCTCCATGGGCGCCTTGCCCCCGCTCACAGAATGGCCGGACTTCTACTACGCAGTGATTGGGGCCGCAGTCGGTATCGCAACACTGTTCAACGTGTACAACTATGTGCTATACCGCCAAAGAATGCTCGCAGCAAGAGGGGGGTCGCGGACGCCTGCAAAGCCCATCTCATGGTTCGCCCTCGGGAATGCGACACTCTGCGCCCTGACGCGCGAAGCGTCCAATTTCTCATTACGCATACCACTGAAAGGTCGCATACTCAGACTACCAACAGTCGGCCGATCGTCGCTGGTTGTCGGGAACGTGGTCGTTCTGGTCGTTCTATGTTTATACGGCTTCGATGTGACGGACATGTTCAGCATGGAGAATATTGGCTTTCGTTGCGGTGTGGTCACGATAGCCCAACTACCGATTATCGTCCTGCTAGCGGGCAAGAATAACATCATCGGATGTCTTAGCGGTGTGAGCTACGAGCGTTTAAATTGGCTACATCGATGGTGCGCTCGATGCATGCTGCTTACGGCCACCATGCACTTGGGGTATTTCCTCAGTGCATGGGCTCCGTACGACTATATCGGCTACCAACTCAAGAATAACGCAATCGTTTGGAAAGGCCTTGCTGCATGGTGTACCCTGGCATGGATTGTGTTCAGTTCCATGACACCGATCCGAGGCTGGAATTACGAGATCTTTGTTATTCAACATATCGTTTCGTTTGCAGTTTTCCTTGCGTTCGTCTACATTCATACCCCTATCGAGATGAACGGCTATGTCTGGGCTCCTGTTGCCATTTTCCTGTTCGACCGCCTCTTCCGAGCATTGCGACTGCTATACATCAACAGCTCCATTTTTCATCCTGCGTTAAAGAAGCGGGGCCAACTGAATGGCCTCTGGGCGTGCAAAGCCGAGTTTACACCCCTTCCTCACAACACCACCCGAATCACTATACCTAACCCACCCATCAGCTGGACTCCTGGTCAACATGTATATCTATCCTGTCACTCCGTTGTGCCGTTACAAAGCCATCCATTCACCGTGGCCTCGATACCAGCAGATGGGAAGATGGAGTTTTACATCAAGGCCGAGAAGGGAGGTACTAAGCGTCTCTTCAGACACGCGGAGAAATCCGGTAGTCTATCTGGAGTGCCCGTCAAAGCCAGGACTGTGGCCATAGAAGGCCCATACGGCACTCTGAGACCACTGCGCCAATTCGACAGTGTCGTTCTCCTCGCAGGAAGTACCGGCGGTACTTTCACTCTCCCACTCCTCCGCGACCTCCTCCAGGGTTGGAAGGAGAATGCTTGTGGCAACACAGGCAGCAGTTCGATCTTCAAAACACCAACAGGTGCAGT